AACAACCCATATGACCAAGCTACCCGAGAAGGCAGGCAGGTTGAGATCGCCCCTGCGTTAGCCAGAGCTGTAAGTGACACAACTATTTCCATCTCTGAGGTCTTAACTGTGATAGAGACTTAAATTCTTGTTTTTTTACATAGAGCACGGAGATAATGAGGACAGTGGTCGAGCAAGGAAGGGCATTGATGATTCCTATGGGCGATCCTAATGAGGCCTCCATGTTACGACAGCACATTCAGGTAGCCTCCTATCATTCAAGTGATGTTACATCTTTATATAGTTTTGCGACCAACCCCACTTACTAATAGTGCTTTCAAAATGCAGCGTGCCATGCATCGCCTCCGAAAGGTAGCTGCACGCCTTGGATGTAGACGTGCCCGGATGTGGCAGTCCCACAACAGCTTGGTGCTGGACCTTCTATTGCACATGTTGGAGGGACTTCATCTTCACATGGTGCACATGTTGGTGGGACTTCTTCTTCACATGGTGCAACAACTAGTGCAGAGGGTGGTCAAGGACATGGTCCTTATGATGATGAAGATGATGAAGGACAGGGAGAGTACTATGAGCATGAGTATGATGAGATTGGCATGTCCCAGCTTGAAGATGCACCCCAAGGAACTCAAGGCCCCTCCGGTTCTGGATGCCCATAGAGGACGCTCAGACCAGTGGACAGGTACACTCTAGGTACCTATCCATTTGGGAGGGGAAAGCGTTACGCTCGCCGTCCACGTTAAGGTACTTGGCTCAAATTTTAGCATACACCAATTAGCTCAATATCTAAACGAACATCTTTTGATATGCTTGTTAAGTTACATCTCATTTTTTGTTCCTAACTTAGCTCAATAGCCGCTGAAAGTTGTTAAAATTTACTATTATAGGAAAAAGAGAGATCAAGGTGAAAAGGAGCATTGGAGAAGGAACGAACTAAAAGCTGCAGACCTTGTCATGTGCTTCTTTTGTGCGACCTTATGTAATGTTCTATGTATCTTATGGTATGCACTATGTTTGGACTATGTTTGATATCACTATGTTTTGATGTTGAATGCGTATGTCGGTGTGGTAACGACATGGACTATGTTTGATGAAGTATATCTCTATGTTTCCAGCGTTGAATGTGTATTCTATGAAATTTTGTATTCCGCGAAATTCTGTCAACCTGTGCACTTGTGAACTGAAATGTTCATTTCTTTTTTTTGTGTACTCAAATCTCGGTGTCAAATCAAGACACGCCGATGGTAGGCACTTTGGCGTTTAGTCAATTAACGTCGACCCCTGGCGCATACTGGAATCGACTGGTTCGAAGAGACGAGGTGCCCAAGCTCGACGCGTAGTAAATTGACGCCGACCCTTTAGAAATGGCGTTTATTCATTTAACGCCGAGATAGGGCCGTGGGCTGAATCGACGACATCCGCGGCCCAAACGTCGGCGTGGCCCGACTCAACGCCTCTGTGTTCAAACTCGGCGTGGACCGACTCAGCGCCGAGCTGAAGCCCAACCCTGGCGGGCCGGTCGAGCCAAACCCTAGGGTCAGCGTGGGCCGACTCAACGCCATTTTCTTTACCTCGGCGTGGGCTGACTCGATGCCATTCTCTTTTTTCTTTTTTTTGTTCTACTTCTTTTTCCTTTTCTTTTTTGATTATTCTTTTTCGGTACTCTTTTATTATTTCTTTTATTCACATTTGTAATGTTCGATTTCAATCCCCTATTCTTAGAGAGAGTCAAATCTTTTTTTGAGTTTCAGAATCAACCATAGTACATGAAACTTAGAGATAGGTAAACTACAATTTATGAAATAACGAATGCACTACGATTACACTCATATGAAAACTAACAATGGCATGTCACAAACTAAACCTACCATGCCTTAGGGATTGAAAGAAACAAGTGATACAGACGTTACAAAGGTACTACGATTACACACTCACATGAAAACTAACAATGGCATGTTGCAAACTAGACCTAGCATGCCTTAGGGGTTTGAGAAGAACAACTCATACAAGCATTCCACATTCGAGTTGACTAACAAACAAAGGTTGATCCTAATAACGGTCCCACATATTGAACTGAGTTGCGCCTTCCCCACAGTATCCCCCAAATGACGGAGGCAGTGGCGGTGGCGGTGGAGAAGGAGGCCCGTGCTTCTTATGGTACGGGCACTAGCAGTACGGATTATTGCATAGTGCCTCCTCTGCATCATTGCTGTTGTCGTCGTCCGACTTGTCCCTGTTACCACTTCTAGGGCCATACTCTAGGTCAAAGATGCGTCCCTGTAGATATGTGATGTACTGTTGATGGGGATAGATAGGAGGAGGGTCGACCCATCTAGTGAAACCACAGTTATCTAGACAGCTTGAATCCTGAAAACCCATCTACCAATAAGTACTACTACAAACCAAATGCAAATCTAAAAAAGAAGAGAGTTCAAAGGAAATACAAATCCTCACGGGCATCTGAAGAAACGACGGCCTCCACCGTCACAGTCGTTGTACATCTGCACAACACAATCCAAACCGTGGCGGCATTTTGGCCAATCTTCAATGCACTTGTCGTATGATCTAAGAGGTCTCTCACGGGTGAAGTCACTCTTCCTCTCCAAAGGAAATTCCTCTATTGGTTCTTCAAAAGAATCAGGACCCAGAGAACCCTCCCACATAATTGGAGGTCCCTTCCTCACCCCCTTTCCTCTCCCTCCGCCGAAACCCTTTCCACTCGAGAAACCTCCGCTCGACATTTGCTAAAACTAAACCAGAAAACAAGTTGTGTGGATGTGGAGCAAGACATAGAGCACTATATATAGAGATGAAGGCAGGTTCACCATGAATGCTACTTGACAAAAAACTTGTGTGTATACTCATTTATTGAATCTGCAAAGGCTAGATGCTTCATCTGAAAAGCCTACAACCATGACTGATCATTTCATCTGAAAAGGCTACACCTATGTTTTGTCACATCATCTAAATGCAGTACATCACTATGATATTAATTCATTGCGTATACGGATACAACAGTAAATGAATCTAGGCTTTTCAGCGAGTTTTCAAATAGACTTTTCATTGACTGCAACACTACTTGTAGCCCTTTCAGTGACTGCAACAGCACAAGTAGCCTTTTCAGTGATACAAACAGTAGCACTACAGTCCTAGGATAGTTAACGAAGTACAGGGCATAAGACCATCTGAAATAAAAGCATAGTGCATTACAACATAATAAAAAAAGTCCAGGGAATAAGTTCATCTGAAATAAAAGCAGAGTGCATTACAACATAGTAAAAAAAGTTCATCAGAATGGAGGGAGGAAGAAGAAGAGGGCCTCGGCGCGGCCTCAAGGGACCAGACCTCTGCGTTGAGTCGGGCCGCACCGAGGTCTGGTGTGTCGGCGTTAAGTGACCCCGCGCCGTGCTACTGGGCCACGATGCGTTGTTGGGCCGCCTGGGCCGCGCGCCGGATGGTGCCCATAGCTCGGCGCTCAGTCCAGCCGCGCCGAGGTTGGGCCCGTGGCGTGGGCTGACAGGACGCCGATGTCTCGGACCCCACGCGCCACCGTGTAGTCGTCGACCGGGGTCGTCCGTGACGTGGCAATACCTCGGCGTCGTGTCAGTCGACGTCGACCCTCATACCTCGGCGTCATGTTCTAAGACGCTTAAAAATAGTCTATTTTTAGAAAACGTTTTGACGTATGTCTTTTTGTAAAAAAATATTTTCAAAAGAGACCATAATACAAAAATTTCACCACCGGATCAAGTAAAGCCAAGAGCTAAAGACACTCCTCCGTTTCAACTATTCCGCCCTCCAATGAACAATCCTCTCGTTGTCCTGTGTGATTACTGCGAGCCCAGCCCGGCCCGGCCGTGACCAACCAAGGCAATAGTAATGGTGTGCTAGCTCATCTAGGGCGTATGGACGTGCGCACGGACGACGACGACGACGACGATCCCAGTCACGACTGGACAGCACGTACCGTTCCACAGTGCGACCAGCAATTAGCCTGTTCGCTTCGTCGTATTTGGCTTATAAGCCATGGCTTATCAGCCAACGAACAATATTTTTTTCTAACAGCCAATAATACTTTCAGCCATGACTTATAAGCCTAACAAGCACACACGAACACGGCGAATCATGCTGCAGTGACCTTTTATAATGTATGATGGGGCTAGTCGGCTAGAAATCGAAAAAGAAAAATTACCACCAGATGCTATAGCTTAGCTTCTTGTCATCACATGCCGTCCGTGTAAGATATGACGATGCTTCTCCGATCTCATCGTCTCTCCATTAGCACGCTGCAACGTCTATTATATCGCCGCCGCAGTCAGGCGCTCCCGTTCATTCATGCATGCATGTGCCACGTCGTCCCAGCTGGAGCAGCAGTGACCGCCGCCGGCACCGGCAGAGCACACCAGGCAATCCATTCCCTCGCGCCCACGTCGCACGGCACGGCACTGGCCCGCCCGCCCGGGCCGATCCCTAACCTGGAGGGCCGGAGGTCGCGAGGGCGAGGCGTGACCACGAACTGCGCACGCACGCACGCACGGCACGCGATCTCCCAACCAACCTTCATCAATCCATCGGAAGCATAAATATGGCCGGACCACCCACGACCCATCAACCAATCAATAGACTGTTCACTCGGTCGTATTCGAGCTTATAAGCTATGTCTTATCAGCCAAAGAACAGTATGTTTTTCTCACACCAAATCAAACAACAGTATTTTCGGCCATGGCTTATAAGCCAAACAAGTCCAAACGAATAGGGCAGTCGCCGTGCCATCGCAAGGAAAGCTCGCTGTTGCTGACGACCTCGCGGCCGGAGGGCGCCGTAGCCATGCCTATAAATCCGGGGCAGAGCACGCACCCACCCATTCATATCGTATCACTCGCCTGCCTCCTCTCCCGCCTCCCTCCCTCTCGCACACAGACGTCGTACGCGGCGGCTAGCTAGCTATCTAGCAGCACGATCGCCGTGGCTAGTGCACGTACAGACGATCGACGACCGACGACATGGCGGCCGCGGCAGCCTTCTTCTTCGCGCGCGGCGGCGGTGCGGCGGCGCTGGCGATGGTGGCGGCCTTCGTCGTGCTGTCGGCCGCCGGCGTGGCCCGCGCGGACTTCGCCAAGGACCGCGCCATGTGCGCGGACAAGCTGATGGGCCTGGCGACGTGCCTGACGTTCGTGCAGGACAAGGCGACGGCGCGCGCGCCCACGCCCGACTGCTGCGCGGGGCTCAAGCAGGTGGTGGCCGCCAGCAAGATGTGCATGTGCGTGCTGGTCAAGGACCGCGACGAGCCTGCGCTCGGGTTCAAGATCAACGTCACCCGCGGCATGGACCTGCCCTCCCTCTGCAGCAACCCCACCACCTTCTCCGACTGCCCCAGTACGTATAACGAATGAACGTCGCAACGGAACACCCTCCTGTGCAGTCCTCTGCTCCTGTGGCTCCTGCAATGCACCGACACGTACGCCGTGCACACCGTACACACACCACGTACCTCGCTGTGCACGGAAAAAGTTAGCTAGGGGCCACCTGCAGCTGCAGGGCCAATCGCATGGTCGTCCGGCCGGCCGTGTGCACAGCTCGTTGCTCCGGTGGTCACAACCTTTTTGAAGTTACAACAGCCCATGTACGTGCTACCGTAGCAGTACCACTGAACAACAGTGCGTGTCAGGAAATCCAGAGAGTGCGTGCCGGTGTCAAGAAACTAACTTCTGAAAACCCAATTCACCTTCATCCGAACCTTCTCTGTCAAATTTCTATATATACTAGCTGTTCATGTACTAACCACTCGGTGCTTGGTTTTGGTTTGCGATGACAACCTGCAGAGATTCTGGGGATGTCGCCCGACTCCCCCGAGGCGGAGATCTTCAAGGAGTACGCCGAGAAGCACGAGGGCAAGAACGGCACCACCATACCTGCCGCTGCAACCGGTACGTACTGCTTGCGAGTTGCGACTATCTTCTCTCTTCAGTCTTCATTTCCCAGTTAATATAATCCTAGCTTGCAGGATCGATATGGAATTTGCAGTCTGCATGCATATAGTCTTTTTGAAGTGTCGTAATGCTAATTGCTGCTGCTAGTACAAAAATCGCATGAGAATTAATTAAGAGCCCTTGCCGCCTTGTTTTATTTCCGTGGTCCTGAGTCGTGACCGACCGGGAACCCTCTCCAACGATCAGCTTTCTGTCCGCGTCTGTGTGTTCCAATTCCGTGAGGTCCCGTAGCAGCAGGGACGCGCGGGGGTACGATCGGGACGTGCCGACATGCGGAGGTCCACGCTATCCCGACGTGCCAGGCCGCGGTGTTATGCCGGGAAAAGCTACTGAAAACTACCAGTACACTTTTCTGCATCACTGCATACATGTACTACGGGGTACGGGTTGAACATTTTCAGGCTTCCTCCACGCGCTCACGCATGCGTTGGTTTGTGTCGCAGGTGCCGCGGCGACAGGGAAGAGCACGAGCGCGGCGCCGACGGCGGCCGGCGCCGGGAGGCAGCCCTGCGCGGTCTTCTTCTACCTCGTGTCGGCGCTGCTCGCCTCCGTTGCGGTCCTGCTGGCCTGACGGCCGGCCGCGGCAACGCAGCGCTTGCATGCATGCATTCATGGCCGGCAGGCCGGCGCGGCAGGGGATGGAGATACTACTGCACGGACTAGAAGGAAAAGCCCGGAGACATTAAAGGAGATGAGCAAATTAAAGGACACGAGTTTTTCTTCTTCTTGTAGCTTTTTAAATTTTGTGGGAGTTGTGAGACGTCGTCGGCTTGTGCTGACGGTGCACCAGCGACGCAGCTTTGTACTCCCAGCTAGCTGTTGGGCTGTGTGGCCTTCCAGCCTGGGGATTTTAATGTGGTGGCCAGAGACTGTCTAGTTGTCTCTCTGAATCTGATGATTCTGATCCATTGCCACGTTGTATGCTTGGTTTTGGTTTCTTTTCAGTTTTAGTTCGTCTTCTTGCTTTTAAGTCAGCTTGTGTAAGCAACATGGATGTAACTACAAGGACCTTGATTGTTTATGCTAAAGAAACAACTTCATCTTTGTTATTTTCGTATACTCTATCTACTTATTAACAAGCTTTGACACAAGGATTAATGAAGTTTGACATTCAATATATATCGACATATGTGTTTTTTTTGTCTACTAAGGACTGACAAATAAGCTTTATAACCATTTAACCCCGCCTGAAATGCAAGCCTCCAACATAATAATACAATGGACCATATGTGACAGTGACGATCTCATTTTACAATGTGTCGTGACGGAGTGTACAATTAGATCCATTGTCTACAACTATGACTAGCGTAACAGTACATGGATCCTTTTTTTTTTGGTAAAAAGACCTTGAAACTGAAGAAAAATAAAAACATATTAGCAGTGCAAGGATAAGAACTCCAATTCCCAGCTCTAAGAGAGAGAGAGAGTGTATGTATATATATATATATATATATATACTCCTTCCGTCCAAAAATATAACTTTTTTTTTTATAATTTTCAGACAGAGTAAGAGTAAGGACGATGGCAAAATACATGTGTTCCCTCGTCTCATTTTCTTTCCCAGTTGATATATAGGTTTGGCAGTCACCTTTTGCATGTGCCCGTGATTAACTTTCGCATTAGGAGGCATTGTCCCACGTTTTATGTAGAGTGTTACTTTTTAGACAGATGTTAAATCTCTGAAAGGTTATTTATTTTGGGACGAATGGAGTATTTTGTAGATAAAAAATAAAGTGGCTCAATTATCTGGTTTTAGTTTCAACTAGAAACTCAATTATTCACCTAAACATTCCTAACTCTAGCTCTACGAATTATTTTTTGAAGGGAAAGCTCTACGAATAATTGGAGATAGGAGTATCCAGTTATAATCATCATACCAATTTAGTTGATGTGTTAGGCTATTTTCATTGGGGTGTTTCGATATGCGTTTTTCAAAAGTGTCACATCATTTTTAGAGGTTTAGATTGATGAATGGAACAATCCTACATGACATGTTATTTAACGAGCTTGAAACTCTCACAAAATTTGAACTAAGAGTGACTTTATATAGGAAAAAAGAAGCTAAGACAACTTGCTTATCCAAAGTGAATGTCAAGTATCCGGTCCAAGGAAGTATTTGCTCCATTTGTCCTATAATATAGCTAGTTTATTTTTTTTAAAATTTGTCCTTCGTTTATCTTGTCCCGCTACATATACGGGTGGCAGCACTTTGCCAAATTAAACATGCATGTCCCACAAATTAAACATACGTGCAGATGCGGACTGAGTAGCACTGTAGCAGTGCCCCAACATGGCTACATGGGAGGTGTACGTGTAGTTTTGACGTTTCAACGTTCAAAGGCACCTAGGAAAATCAGAAGTAGCCCAGGTTCTATCCGTATCCTCTAATAAACTTTTATAAAAGCCGCAATAATTAAAGAATCCAGCCATAATAAACTTCTATAAGATATGTGGAGAGTTGTTTTTAATAATTTTATATTATTATCTCTAACGATCCATACACAACCATATTCTAAGATGAACTTTAAACGATGTAAAAGTAGCTATATTCTGAAAGAGTATCTGGGCTTAACTAGCGACCCCAACTGTCACTCGTAACTTTCAGCGTAATTGCTGTGCCCCTCTCTGTCTTTCCCTCTGGCAGAACAGCTAGTAATAACTGGCAACCGTCCAACACGAGTCTCCTCTCTTCCGTTCCTTCCCTCCTGAAATTCTCCGCTCACGCCAATCGAGGCACGGAAATGTCTGAGAGCCCGAGTTGAGCAACCAGCCAAGCGAGAAATCCACTTCGAGAAGCTTCTGGATCTCCCGAACGGAGGCGGGGTAGGGAGGGGAGGGGAGCACGCCTGGGCTCTCCGCCTGCGGCCTGCGGGTAGGGTTTCTCTCTCGGCCCGATGGCGTCCGCCGCCAAGTCGTCGAGGTCGCGGCCCGCCGGCCACTCCGGAGTGTTCCCGGTGAACGCGGCGGCCGGCGCGGGAGGCAGCGACGGCGGGGTGCAGCTCGCGGACAAGCTCAAGATATTCAAGACCGACAACTTCGACCCCGACGCCTACGTGCAGTCCAAGTGCCGCGCCATGGACGAGAAGGTGAGGAACTCGTCCGCCCCGGAAATTTGCCTCCAGTGGTGGCGGAAGGGTCGCGTCTTCTTTCGCTCAGAAGTGCGAGGGGCACGGGGTTCAGGGGTGTTCGACGCGTTTTGAGTAGTTTAGTGCGAATTTGGAGTGATCACGATTCAATTGTTGAGATTTTTTTGTTGGTATAAATCGCTTTGGGTTTAGGTTACATATGCAAAATTTCTAACAAAGTTACTATTGCACCGCGTAGACTGGAATTAGTTTCGATGATGGATTTTTGGTGTTGCGCCTTTTTGCTGGAGCATGGAGGAAACAGAGCACTGGAGCAGAGTGTGTAGAGATGCTATTTTTGGCTTCCATATGTGGGCATGTAGTTTTGTTAATGTTTCTGATTATACCTCTGTCTAATCTAAATCTTAAATGAAAACTCGAGCGGAATTGTGGTGGCCCTGTCAGTGAAATTGATCACATATATGCTCAAGTGAAACCTTCTTTTGTTAAAGGGAAAAACAAACAAACGAAACTTTGAACCCTGTAGCATTTTAAGAGTATTTTTTATCAAATTTCTTCCTAGAATCCTAGGAAGTGCATTCTGAGAGACACATAGTCCTAGTTCTAGGCTTCTGTTTCCCTTGGTGTCAATACTCAAAAGGTTGCTCTGAGAAGTTTATTTATTTATTTATGTTTTTCAACATCCCTTTTTCTGTGTGTATTGGATTGTTCTTACGTGACTATGAAACATTCAATAAGTAGAGATTTGCATGCTAAGTTCAGTTGATTCATTTGGTAGTAGTGATGTCTTATCACATTTTATCAATGAGCGGGATCAACTATCAGTCTATCACTAGGTCAATCAACAATCTTGAATTTTGGAAACCTAATGCTTTTAACTGCACACAATGTTGTAGCTTTTTCCTTAATTGAGAGGCAGAGCTCCTGCCGTTTGTTTCAAAAAAAAAAAAGTTGTAGCTTTTTGTTTCCTGGTCAAGTTTCCGGCATTTCCTGAAAGCAGAAGCACAACCATCTGTAGAAATTTGTACTGGTTCTCATCCCTATTAGGGAATGCAATTGCTATACTACGAGTTCTTGTTGGAGCTTCACATGCACCGCATTCAGGGACAAGAGCCTATTTTTTTGTAGGCATAATGCACACATAGTTCCCTACATAAGCTGTGTTATATTATATACTAAATTAGGTTAAGTTAGCAATATATTTTAGCTTAGGATCTTCTTACTCTTGTGATTGTAGAGTCCACATGACTTTTTGTGCAAGCTCATGCATTTGAACTCTGGTGTTTTCTTTCTGCTTTGTATTTTTGAAGCATTTTTCTTTAACTATGACTGTGTTAAAAATCTAAAAAAAATCTTGGAAAACTGAAACAGGGTTAACGTTCAAAATTTATAACAGGAAATAAGGCACCTGTGTTCCTACCTGCAAGATCTAAAGAAGGCTTCTGCTGAAGAGATGCGCAGAAGTGTTTACGCAAATTATGCTGCATTCATCAAGTGAGAACACAGTGGTCCATTTCAACCTACATGAAATTTGTACTGGTGGGAGTTTCCAATTAATTGCTTAGAAATGTTCTGGATGGCATTTTTATATATGCTACAGGCTATCTGTTGCCTATTTATTTCTTTTCCACTTTCGGAACATGGATGTTCCAACTTCTCCATTGATAATTTTTCTTGATGATTTGAATTACTATTTGTCAAGTACCACCACCAAATAATTGATAACAAAAGGCCATCAACTAATTATCATTTCATCTTCAGAACCAGATATTGTTGCCATCTTTACATATCATGAAATTTATTGTCGTGCAAAATTGTCAGTTATATATTTATGAGATACCATGTTTTCCACATAGTTTCTATTTTAATTTGCTTCATGTACTCTTCCTTTCCACTGCCCAATTCATGAATTTGGAATACATTTATGAAACTAGTCTCCTGGTACAGAACATCAAAGGAGATATCAGACCTTGAAGGGGAGCTATTATCAGTTAGAAATTTGCTAAGTACACAGTCAGCTTTAATCCATGGTCTGTCCGAAGGGGTTCAGATAGATTCGTTGATCACAGGGCCTGAAGGTTCTGCTGAACACGACATATACAGTGTTGAAGATCAGGAGCCATCAGAAATATGGAAATGGTCCACGGATTTCCCTGACATGCTTGATGTTCTGCTAGCCGAAAGAAGAGTGGATGAAGCACTGGATGCCTTGGATGAAGCAGAACGGATTGCTGCTGATGCCAAACAGAAGGGAACTCTAACTACGGCTGACATTCTGGCTTTAAAGAGGGCTATATCTGAAAATCGTCAGAAGTTGGCTGATCAGCTAGCTGAAGCTGCATGCCAGTCTTCTATTTGTGGCGTTGAACTTCGAGCTGCAGCTTCTGCTCTCAAGAGACTTGGTGATGGACCTCGTGCTCATAGTTTGTTGCTCAGTGCACACAATCAGAGACTTCAATTAAACATGCAAACAATACAACCATCTAGCACATCATATGGCGGGGAATACACTGCTTCTCTTGCGCAACAAATTTTTCCTGTTATAGCTCAGGCTCTCAATGACTCAGCCGAGGTCTTTGGTGACGAACCAGCATACACGTCTGAACTAGTTACTTGGGCTACTAAGCAGGCAATGTCATTTTCGCTGCTTGTAAAGAGGCATGCTTTAGCCTCTTGTGCTGCTGCTGGGGGCTTAAGAGCTGCTGCGGAATGTGTTAAGATAGCAATTGGTTATTCAGACTTGCTGGAAGCTCGTGGTCTATCACTTACATCAGTTCTGATGAAGCAATTCAGACCCTCAGTTGAGCAAGCATTAGATTCCAATTTGAGGAGAATTGAAGAGAGTACTGCTGCTTTAGCTGCAGCTGATGACTGGGTACTCACCTATCCAACTGGTCTACGTCCATTGGCTAGATCATCTGCTGGTAATCTGAAACTCCAGCCGAAGCTCTCAAGCAGTGCTCACCGTTTCAATTCAATGGTTCAGGTAATGTTCAGTGCTTGAGCAGATGAAAAAAAATGTTTCCAACAGTTGTAATTGCAGCCTCTCTTTTCTCAAACACGCAAGAGCTGCGTATCATCGAATTAAGAAGAAAATAATTGCAGCCTTTCTGTTATTACGCTCTCCGTATGATGCATTTTTTAACTAACTAGCTTGTCCTAACATCATATATACAAAAAAGGAAGGAGTATCGACTGTTTTGAAACTTATAGGTTTCCTTTTTTCTTTACCCCATTAACTTTAACTATGTGAGGTGCGGACTTCAAGATGCAGATGCCATTTTTTTTGTAGACATACTGTTAATTAGTCTTTGTACATTTTTTATGCAACATGTATGGTTTATTTCCATTTTACTCTGAGACTCAATACATTTATTTGCTTATTATATTTCAATGTAACTTTGAAATGCAGGATTTCTTTGATGATGTTGGACCACTGGTTAGCTTACAACTAGGTGGTTCCGCGATGGATGGGCTTCTGAAAATATTCGACTCATATGTAAACTTGCTCATAAGTGCTCTACCAGGGTCAGTGGATGATGAAGTTAACTTGGAAGGTTTAGGGAATAAGATTGTTAGAATGGCAGAGACAGAGGACCAACAGTTAGCTTTGTTAGCTAATGCATCTTTACTAGCTGAAGAGTTGCTACCGAGAGCAGCAATGAAGCTGTACTCTATGAACCCGGTCAGCATGGATAGCTTGCGTAGAAGAGGTCCTGAAAAACAAAATCGTGTGGCAGAGCAGCGAGAATGGAAAAGGAAGCTCCACCGCATGGTAGACAAACTTAGAGATAGTTTCTGCAGACAGCATGCTCTAGATCTTATATTCACAGAAGAAGGTGACACTCATCTGAGCGCAGAAATGTACATCAATATGGATAATACTGTTGAAGATCCAGAATGGGTTCCATCGCCGATTTTCCAGGTATTTCCATATTTTTTTGGCATGTGATGACAAGTCATGGAAACTGATTTGTCGCATGTTGCTCCTTCCAAAATTTCCCAAGAAACTCTCGTCTTCTGCGTCATCTCACCTGTAGTTCATTGCAGGAATTGTATGCAAAATTAAATAAGATGGCAAGTGTTGCAGCGGACATTTTTGTTGGTAGGGAAAGGTTTTCTACGCTGCTTATGATGAGACTTACGGAGACAGTCATGCTTTGGCTCTCAGACGACCAGACCTTTTGGGAAGAGATTGAAGACGGACCAAGGGCTCTGGGTCCACTTGGACTTCAGCAGGTAATCTCCTTTTTAACTTCTCGTGTGTGTTTCTTCTCCATTTCAGTTTGCAAAACTTCCCAGACCTTTGCCTGACAGCTAACATTCCCTTTTACTTTACCTTCCTTTTCAGTTCTACCTGGATATGCAATTTGTCATCCTTTTTGGGCAAGGGCGTTTCTTATCTCGGCATGTGCATCAAGTCATATTGGGCATCATTGATAGAGCGATGAGAGCATTTTCTGCTACGGGGATGGACCCTGATAGGTATCAGTGTTTTTCTTGGTTCATCACATCAGTTTCATCCTTGTCGTGCTCAATAAATTATTTCATTGGCTGCTCTCGGTAGAAGCTATGCAGCATTGCGTTGTAAGGTCCCATATACCTGCTTGTGAGGGCACGGACGCACGGTAACCTTGAAGCTGAAACTAATGTGCTCAATTAATGTCTGCAGGGTCCTTCCAAGCGACGATTGGTTCATCGACGTTGCCCAGGAGAGTATCAGTAGGATCAGCGGGAAGCCACGATTCGCCAATGGGGACAGGGAGAGGGAGGTGAGCAGCCCCACAGCCTCCGTGTCAGCACAGTCCGTGTCGTCAGCTAGATCTATCGGCAGCTCCTAGCGTGCAGCGTGCAGTGTGCAGGTGCAGGTTAGACGTGCAAAGTTTTTGTATCGATACTGTAGAGCTTTGTTTTGGATGTGTTTGTGATGGTATATATGTGAGTAATTGTATGCATAGGCCAAGAAAATTCTTGAAGCTGGTTTTGTTGATTTGTTCTGAGACTTTGGGCCGGTCGACGCATCGGTATTCCTTTTCCTTCTGGTAGCTGTAGGCATGCTTTGGATGCCCGCGCTGCTTGGGCTTAGTCCCAGTCAGAGGCAGGGAAGCCAAAGCCCAATGGCCAAAGGTGTGCTGTGTGTAATGTGCTAGCTGCTGCGCGGCCGCCGACTGGCGCTGACTTTTACTGGTCTTTCACTCTGGTTGTTATGGAACGTAACCACGCGCTTGGGGTTTGTTCATCTGCCATAGGATGGGACATGGGAGACGAGACTTGTCAATTCTCATGCCTCTTTCATGGGTTCATGGCTGACCAGGTCACCACCGAACCACAGAACTTGCACCTCAAGCCGTATCCCGTCCGTCATCGCTGGCGATCGATGATTGCCGATAACCCGTCGTCATGGAGCACTCGGGGTCCCGATCCGACGGCCAGGATCAACTGACCCGTTGCAACTTAACGGAACGCTACTACGCTAGGATCTGAAAGCACCGAACCTAGAGTATCTTGACGATCGCCAAGGCACCTACTACAACTTGACAATGGCGACCATGACAGTTAAAGGAAATATCGTAGACGACTTGTGGACATCTCCCTCACAAAGTCACCCAGGACTCCACTGGGCAGCAGCCTTTGAACCCTTCAACTCCTTTGACGTTTGTAATGTACGTCCTCTTCACGTACGCACTAACGCACCACACATACAATTGCTTCGCTTTATATAGCCATAGCAGCATACCTCCAAAACTCCAATCAAAGCTCTGCACGATCACCCACACGGCCACACACATCTATACTAATACATCGATCGTGTCACCAGCAGAGCACGAGCACGGTGCTCCAATCCAGAGCCATGTCGAAGCCATCGTCGTCGTCGCTGCTGCTCCTCCTCCTGCTGTCGGCGACGCTGGTCGCCACCACCTGCCGCGCCGACCCGGACCCAGTGCAGGACTTCTGCGTGGCCGCGGCGCCGGGCGATCACAACGCGTCGTACTCCACCACCTACCCGGGCTTCCCGTGCAAGCCGACGTCGTCGGTGGTGTCGGACGACTTCTTCTTCGCGGCGCACGCGAGCGGCGCGAGCACGGACAACCCGAATGGCGCGGGAGTGACGCCGGGCAACGTGGAGGCGTTCCCGGGGCTCAACACGCTGGGCCTGTCCATCAACCGCGTGGACCTGGCCCCCGGCGGCGTGAACCCGCTGCACACGCACCCGCGGTCCGCGGAGCTGGTGCACGTGGAGGCCGGCGAGATGCTGGTCGGCTTCGTCAGCACGGAAGGGAAGTTCTACTCCAAGGTGGTTCGGGCCGGGGAGAGCTTCGTCATCCCGCGCGGGATGATGCACTTCCAGTACAACGTCGGCACCGGCGCTGCGCGCGCCATGACCGTCTTCAACAGCCAGCTGCCCGGCGTCGTGCTCGCCGCGCAGTCCCTGTTCGGGGCCGAGCCGGAGATCCCCGACGCCGTCCTGGCCAAGAGCTTCCAGGTGGACGCCGACACCATCAAGCTCCTCAAGTCCAAGTTCCGCAAAGGATGATAGCGCGCGCGCGGCCATGCGTGCATGGTGAGGGTGACCGGTTACATGGCCGGAGCTGCTCGCTAGATTCTTCGTTGTTCCATACAGTTTTTTTAGTACATAATGTTGTTTCGCATTATTAAATATACTTTGATTTGATCAATAGTAAAGCTCATAAACAGTGCATGGTTGAATTCAGTATGTAAATTTCAGGGTGTCACATGTCACATGTGGATGTCGCATGAGTTATTTGGACTAATAAAAAATAAATTATAGAATATGTCAGTAATCCACGAGACGAATTTATTAAATTTAATTAATCTATTATTAGCACATGTATTACTGTAGCACCACATTGTCAAATCATGAACTACTTAGGCTTAAAAGATTCGTCTCGCAAATTAGTCGTAAACTATATAATTAGTTATTTTTAGTCTATATTTAATACCCATGTATGTATCATACTGTCGGTGTTTCGTACAAGCACCGGCAAGTAAATTTATAGTAATGCGCGTTAGGCTCGGATGGTGCGCTAAAGGACACAAGATTTGTACTGGTTCGGACTGAATTTTCCTACGTCCAGTTTGTTGTTGCTTGTGTTATTAGCACCGTGAGTGGTTCGTAGTAGGGGATACAAACGATCGAGAGAGGGACATGTTCCAAGTCTCTGATGGAAGGGTCGAAAGAAAGTCGAGAGCTTGGTAGTAGCTTGACCATGTGTGTGTCGCCTTGTTTTTTCGTCCGTCCCCTTTCTGAAGGAGGCGCATCCCCTTTTATAGATGAAGGGGATGGCTTTACAAGGGTCAGTGGCTTAGGATCCGTGCTCTACCTAGCCTCCTTACCCATTTTGATGGGTGCGAAAGAAAGATAAGCGCCTACAATACTGTCGATGTTTCTGTAGAATGTCATGATGGTTACTAATAGTGCCCTGCGTAGGGCATGGGCTGGAGTACAGTGGTTTTGACTTATGAACCTCACCCAGCCTTGCTCCGCACGCCTTCTGGCTCTATGAGTCTCTGTCGTAGGGACGCGGAGTCGAGGTCGAAGTAGCGCTGTGGGCAAGGTCCTGCGATTTGGTGGACCCGAGGGGTCGGGAAGCGGGCGCCGCTCCCTTGGGTCCATAATGTGGTGACGGCATGTCCGTCATTCGTGGAGATTACAAATCCTTTTCTAGAGTGTAGTGGTTGTCGTGTATCTTCATTGGGTCCCTTGTCCCAGAGCTGAAGGCGGCGCCTACAACTCTACAGGGCGAGGAGTACGCGCCTGCAATACCTTTTGGGCTCTACGGCGCCCGGGAGGGTCTAAAGCACATGTCCAGTCGTTCCCTGGCAGTACCTTTCCTACCGGGGCGCAGGGTATGGTCCTTGAAGCCATGGTTGACCCGAACGTCTTGTCTTGCACTGTACCTGTCATCATGAGGGGACGGGAGAGAAGTTATCAGGTAAGATAAAACCAGCCTTTGGATATCGATCGGGGCGAGGTTCGTCCTTAGTCGTCGGGCGAGGCGGAGTGTATTCCTTAGCCCTCGGGCGAGATGGAGGCCAGCCCCTTGCCCTCGGGCGAGACGGAGGCCATCCCTTTGCCCTCGGGCGAGACGGAGGCCATCCCTTTGCCCTCGGGGCCCTTTGCCCTCGGGCGAGGCGGGGTTGGTCCAGAGGCGTCGGGCGAGACGAAACCTAACTTTCGTCATTCGGGCAAGGAACGCAGAGGCGCCCTTGTCCGTCCAGAAGTTTTTAACGTTCGATGGTTATTGGTTCCGCCTTCTGGGGTATCCTGGTATTAGGTCCCCGACAGTAGCCCCCGAGCCTCTAGGTGATTCAGATAGAACCGCCTAGAGGGTGTTTTTCGATTTCGTCAGAGTCATTTCGCCAGAGGGTGCGCGCGAGCGCACCCGTTGGGTGTAGCCCCCGAGCCTCCAGGTCATTCAGATATGAAAGGATCAAGATGCCCAAGAGGGGAGGGGTGAATTGGGCTAATTCTAAATTTTCTTGCAATAATCGAATCCTACGGATAGCCCAATTAACCCCTTGTGCCTAGAAAAAGTTTTTCTATCAAATCAACGCACAAAGGACTTGCAACCTATGTTCCAAACTTACTCTAGCATAGCAATTCTATGAAAGTAAAGACGAGTATTGAATTGCTCAAAATAAATACTTAAAGTAAATGCTCAAAGTAAATGGAGAGAGGAACGCGGCGATGTTTTGCCGAGGTATCGGAGAGTCGCCACTCTTCACTAGTCCTCGTGGGAGCACCCGCGCAAGGGTGTAGCTCCCCCTTGATCCGCGCAAGGATCAAGTGCTCTCTACGGGTTGATTCTTCGACACTCCGTCGCGGCGAATCACCCAAAACCGCTCACAACTTGAGTTGGGTCACCCACAAGCTCCGTCGGGTGATCACCAAGCTTCCAACCACCACCAAGCCATCTAGGTGATGGCGATCACCAAGAGTAACAAGCACGAACTCTCACTTGACCACGCGAAGCCTAATGAGAAGATGGATGCACACTTGTCTACTCTTGATTCACTAATGAGGTTTCACTATTGGATTCTCAAATCACAAACACCTCACTAGGACCTTGCTCTTCTTGGCACTCACAAACGTGTTTCTCAGCTGTTGGAATGAGCAAAAGTAACTCCACACACGAGTGGAGCTTCTATTATAAGGCAGCCTGAAAAATGAACCGTTATGAGCTTCTGCGGGATGACCGGATGCTCCGGTCAGTTCAATCCGCGCAACAGTTTCCAAGTGATGACCGGACGCTGTCAGGGTCCGGTCAGCACTGACCGGACGCGTCCGGTCGCTCTTGGAAGCTTAGTGTAATCGACCGGACGCTGGATACTCAGGGTCCGGTCACCACTGACCGGACGCGTCCGGTCACACTTTCTCAAGACTGGACCCTTATTGGAGTCGACCGGACGCTGGCCCCCAGCGTCCGGTCACACGACCTTCCAGTGTTCGATCACTCCAGACTTGTTCTCCTTAGTCAAATGAACTGACCGGACCCTGCGGCCAGCGTCCGGTCGCACCGGAGCCAGCGTCCGGTCAGTATTTGACCCTCCATTCACTTCCAACTCTCGATCATATGTGAATGAAGTTTGCTCCAAAGGATCTTAGGCATTCATAGGAGCTACCTAGAGCTAGTTTTAACAAGTGTGCACCACACCTAACTCACTAGACTCAACTAGGTCAAGCTACCCGTTCATACCCCCCTTCATAGTACGGCCAAAGGAAAAACAAAGTTCTAAACTACTCTAAGTATCTCTCCAACTTCAATTGACACTTAGAACTAGTTATCCTTAACCTTGTCGTCCATCCTTTGAAAACCGAAACGATTTCCATCGTAGGGGCATGACAACCTCAATTGCCCAATCGATCTCCATTACCATGACCTAACTTAATTGCCTCTGCAAAACACACGTTAGTCATAGTAATCTTGTATTGACATTAATCACCGAAATCCACTTAGGGGCCTAGATGCTTTCAATCTCCCCCTTTTTGGTGATTGATGACAATACCACCTCGAGTATGTTATGGAATGAGGTTTTTGACGGGCTTGGTTCATATAAGCTTTTGTCGTTAAGAACAAAAGAGTTAGGCAAGCTTATATGACCCAAGCCAACACAATGTACTCAAAGGATATGAATTAAGCATGAGTACAAGTAACAAAGCTCATTTGCTTTGAAGTATAAACGCGGAAGCAAAAGCAAATGAGCATAACACTAGTGATATGACATATAGATAATGCAAAGTAGAAATCACACATGTCAAATATCACAATCACGTAGATAGCACTATCACATATATATAATAGTATGCATGAAAGTAAACACATGAATGCATATCACATATATATAATAGTATGCATGAAAGTAAACACACGAATGCATAAGTAATAGTGTATCACACAAATAGAATTCCATATGTATATAATAGGCTAATACTAAATAACTAGCTCCCCCTAAATGTAGCTCCTCCTGAGACTACATACTCGAACACCCTCTTCCCCTTTGGCGTCAAACACCAAAACCTAGGGGTCGGACGGCAGGGCTGCAGTGGATGAGCCGGGCGCTGAGGTGCGAGGAGCAAGCTGGAACCGAGTGCCAATCATCATCATCGACCACGAGCTCTGACCGACCGACCCTCTGTGGCGGGAAGTGTCACTGAGGTCTGGAGTGCAGCCGGAGCAGTCTTTGCTGTGAAGCTTTGGTACATCTGTGGGATCTGATGATGCTTGTTGAGCTAGGAAGCCTCTAAGTAGTCATCACTTCATTTGGAGCTGCTTTGTTGAAGGAGGACCGCGGCGTGCATATGCGGTGGAGTGGGCATGCCGGTCACCTCATTGAAAGATGCTCCAAGACTCCAGAGGCCGGCGTGTCGAGCACACAAATAGCGAGGGCGACTCCTCGGGTGTGAAGCCCGTCTGAAGTGGAGTGAATGCAGGGCTACCACGGTGAGGCTAACCACCGGGACACTGTACAAGAGGTGAAGCAAATCGAGCCGGAGGTCGCCCTCGACTCTGAAGCCCGTTGGGGTGTATAGGCCGAGTCGTCGTGGTGGAAGCAATTTGAGCAAGCTGGGGCGAAGTCTGTGGTGGGGCTCAAAGAGCTGTCACTATGTCTTGCATGAAACCCATAAGCGCCGCTGCTGTGAGAGTATCTGCTGTTGATGCATCTGCTGCTATTCTTTCTTTGCATGGCTCTTCTTGCCTCTCTAGAACTAAATCTGTCCGAGTCTCAAATCGGGCAAAAGTAGCAATTGTCTCTCAGTCTGTCTATCTCTCAGTGTCTGCTGCATCCGCTCAAGAATAGCAATGAGAGTGGGGTGCATGCGAGGAGGTGGAGTGGAGCGAGAACTAGAGCTACCGGCCTCTGCATCGTGTTCATGCGTGGAGGCATCGAGGAATAGGCGATAGTCATCGTCGGAGCTGCCATCAGACTTCTCGCTCACCTCCTGCTATGCCTCTAGCTCCTCCTCAGTGGCTACAATCCCTCTGATGATCTCATCCTGCTGAGCTGCGGACT